AGTTTTCAGTAATCGTCTGAGACCAGCTCCTAACACTCAGGACACCTGGCATCAGACGTCTCTTATTTTCATGAACCAGTGCACTAATGAAATATTTGCTTCAAGAGATGCTCTTTCCTGAAACCAAAAGTCCAAGCAAGGGCAGGTGTGTGGCCACTTCAGGATCTTTTTCATGCAGGGCTAGCTGCTTTGCCTGTCCACCCTGCTTGGATGCTGTCTGTAGCTGTGAGAGTAGATGTTTGGATGTTTTTGGTAGACACTGCTGTTAACAGCTCGGTGCCTGCATTATCTGCAAATCTTATGGCCCAGATAATGCTGGTAGTCAAGTAATCAAGCAGTGCATGAAAAACTAAGCTGCTGTAGGCCCCCATGAAAAGAAGCTTCAGCAAGGCACATTCCTGTGCTCCGTGAACAGGCTGGAAGGCACGAATTCTCCCCCGACGCTCTCACCAGGCTGTCAGCTAGGAAGGAAGAAATGAAAAGCTGCTAAGTCTTCATTTCACTAAAGAATGCAGGGTTTTTTCTCCATTGTGCTCTTATCCACTTTGATTTTTACCATTTCTGCTGAAGTTTCCCAAAAGGAAATTCTTTGTTGTGATAAGCTTGATACTTGCCTATGGTCTGTATAATTTAAAAATACCATAGGCTATTTTGGGCTGTGATCCTGAGACACTTCTCTTTAATGACCACACAAAGTATTTCCTAAATCCTTCGAAATATTTTTGGAAACATGTGGAAAATACGTTTTTAAAATCTCACTGTCTCTACAAAAGCAGCAGGCAAGATAGGTTCTCTTACTTTCAGTCTTGTATGTAAACAGTTACATGTGCTTAACATTACTCTCGTACCCCATTCCAGTGATTTATCAGATCTCATCACAGCTTGCAAAAATCAAGAATTGAGTGTGTGGCAGATGTTAAGTGTGTGTTGGCAGTGTACTTATTGTAGGGAACCGATAGTTTGCTCGCAAGTTGGTAAGCCTGCTTTTACCCTGTTTTGTTAACCTGTCTAACTCCTGTAACCATAGGTGCTCCCCAGGCTGTTTTAAGATGGGACTGTTCAATATGTCCGTGCCTGCCGGTACTTGGAAAAGTGGTTTGCATGAGCTAGGGCTGTTGTGTGTCGGCTTACTTCTGCTCTTTCCTGGGTGAATGTCAAAATTACTGTTGTTGCATTGGCAGGCACCTACAGCACTCAGATTGAATGAGGTGGTAGGAAAGCGCCGCTGGAAACATCTGTTCAGAGAAGGGAAGAGGTGTGTAGGACAGCTGCAAAACATTCACCTCTGCTTTCCTCTCCTGCCCCTCTTTCACTGTGCCCTCACGTGAAGTGGTAGAACTGTTGCTGCTGTTGTGTAATAATAAATCAGCAGCTGAGAAGGGGTCATATGTGATTTTCACACCTTGCCACTAGGTTGCTTTATTCGGTCACCCGCAGCAGAAGAAAGAACTGTCAGGGCTCATGAGGTGCTGGAGCAGGGGTAAGAATGGGCAAGAGGAGTGGAGTGGCTGGCAGAGGATTCACAGGTTAGTCTCAGTTGGAAGGGACCCACAAGATTCATTGAGTCCAGCTCTTACGTGAATGGCCTATATGGGGATCATACTCACAACTCTGGTGTCATTGGGAGAAAGGCTGGGTCAAGCCTGGGGTTGTTAAGCCAGCCTGGCTGCCAGAAGAAATGTCTGTGAAACTGCACTTTGAATATATTTTAACAGAAATATTTCCCACACAGCTTTCCACAGCTGCTGTTGTGAAACCAGTCAAGTCAGCCATCATGCAGGCAGCTCAAATCTGTTTTCAAGTATGTTAGGCGTTCAGATTCGGGGGTCTCAGGCAAGTTGGCGCTGTACTCTGTGAGCTCTGAAAGAATAGTCCTGAGCAAAGCAGGCGGCTGGTCTATGCTGTGGCGTCCTGGTGGGTTAGTGTGAGGGAGCTGGCTGATGGTAAGTGTTTGTGGAAAGCATAAATATTTGCCCACTGTGTGTAATTATTGTCAGACAGTGGTGTTCACCCTGGTGAGGAGATGTAAAGCTAGAGAGAGAGCCAGGGTGGCTGTGCTTGCTGTCTGACTTGTGGGAGCCTTTGGGTTGAGAGGGACTTGAAACCAGAACCTGCTGCAGGATGATGAACTCCTGGTAGAGCAGCCTGGCTTTCAGCTGCCTCTGTGCTGGGCTCTTGGGGTGCCTGGGCTTGGGGTGAGACTCATGAGACTCTGAAGGAGCTCTGTACATACAGACCTGTGCATACAATGCCTGCCTGCTGGTAGTGTTCACTGACCTTCATTGTTGGTTGGGTTGTGTCTGTCATAAAAACTGCACAGCATCTTCCTCCTGCAGAACCCCATTCTTTGGAGGAGATTTTAATGATAAGCTTAATCTGTAAAAGATTTTTGACATTACTTTCTTTTTTTCTCAGTCTCTTTTTTATAACGTGACAATTTATTGCTGGCTTGCAGTGAGTTTGGAGTCCCTGTGCAGACCATTGCTGCAGTCGAAAGGCAAAGGAGAAGTGAGATGGGCCATGCCTGCAGTAAAGGATGTGGCATCAGAGTATCTGTGTAGCTTAGCTGCACATTGACCAAAACTTGACAGAGAAAGAACTCTTTGTATGTGTGGGCTTTGACGTCTTGCCACCCAAAGATAATATCTTTGAAACCTCTTGGGTCAGTAGGTTGTGGCCAGCATCTTAGTCTTTGGGACAGAGACTGTTCTCATTTATTTTTGGATAACACCTATTTCATTGTGGCCTACTCTGAATGTTAGAGGTACAGTTTAAAAAAGAAAAAAAAAAAATAAAAACCCTCACAAAAAAAAACCCCAAACCATCAAATTTGAGGCTGTGGCTGAATAGTCTAACCAACTTTCTATGGTTTCCATGGCTTTTCAGAGTGCTTGAAGAGGTGCATCTGGAAAAAGATGGAAATAGTGGTATTTTTCACAAATATTTCCTATTTTTAGGGTACATGCTCAGTATTAGAAACTATCATTAAGGTCTAAGTAATGTGGAAAAATACATAAATGACTTGCATATTCTGTTTAAGCATTTGTTGCTTTAAGTAGCAGCTCTAATGACCCAGGAGTAGAATAGCAGACGTTGCTGGATGTAGATGAGATTTTACTGGCAGAGCTCTCTAGCACCTGGTGTAGGAAAATGTTTTTCTCCTTACAGATGCCAAAGCTGCATACCTTTTTTCTTCCATACTGTAGTTGTTATGCTAAGGCAGGCAGTTCAGGTTCATTGTGGATACTTTGGATTGGGCTGATACCAAATCCTTTCATGTTAAAAGGACCTTCACTCTTACTTTTTTGCTCTTGTTGTTAAACTTCTGAAGTGGGTAAATTACACATTTCTGGTATGCATTTATTTTTAAATGTTACCGCGTTTGTTTGCTGAGTCAGTAACTTGCTGTAGTTTCCTTATATCCTGGACCTGTGTTGATGCTCTAAAAGGTAATGTAATTTCACTACCTATAAAAAACAGAATTGCTATTCAGCCACTTGAGCCTTCTATTTTGAAAGTATACTTGCATGATGTGCTTTTGCACATAGTATTTTTAATTTCCAGCTTTGGTGCCAACACGAGCCCATTCTGTTTATTCCCCATATCTGGAGCTCTGTGTTTTGGGCAGGGTTTCTGTTCTGCAGTAGCAGCAGTTTTAGCAGCTGCATGCTTTGAGGCCCCGTCTCCTCTGGCATGAGACCCAGCTTGGGGGCTGGGTTGGACTGTCCCCGTGTTATGTCTTCTGCAGCTGAAGAGCTGCTGTGGAGAAAGGGAAGGGCCTGTCTGCCACCCGCTCCTGGGGGCTGAAGGCAGGAAGTGTGACCTTGAATGTTGCAGGGATAGTCATAGCAAGGAAGTGATAAGCTGGGAGTCTTTTCAGCAGAGTTCTTTAGAATGATTTGAGGCTCTTTGAACAACCAGTCTGGTTGTGATATTCTGTGGAGTTAGACATAGGTGTCTGTGGACACACATGAAACCCCCTCCCCTTCACCAGACAAGTCCTTGATGCTGGAGGAGGAAGTGTCCTGGGAGGAAAGCAGTGCATGATGCTTGGGTGCCTGAAGACACATACAACCAGTGAAGTTTGCCTGGGCTACTCAAATGTGGCACTTGTGATTTTCAATCTTTTGGCAAGCATCCACCTTGTACAACTGCTTGTTGAAAGCAGAAGGTCCTCTGAATGTTCCTGTGGCCCCTCCAAAAGCTGAGGAAACACCAGTAGGAAGCAGCCTTGGTGTGCTGGAGTGCCATGCTCTGGCAGCACACCATACCTAGCCTCAGGGAGTGCCTGGAAAATGGGAGTGTAGCGGGGTGAGGTTACTCTGGGTTGGCAGCAATGAGACCTGGGAGGGCGGCTCCCTGCTCCTGGCTGCCTGCTGATGTCCAAAAATCCCTCCTGTGGTCATGGTTGGTGGGTTAAGCACAGACAGGAACCATATGGAGCTGCTGCCTGTTGCAAGTAAGGGCCTAGCCAAGGACAGTGCTGCCTTATATACATAAGTAAGACTTACCTTCATATTTTATACATGACTTTTCTAAAGTAGAAGGCAGGGAAGGTGAATCCAGGTTCTTTGAAAGTCAGTGATACTGTTGACAGCAAGAAAGTAATGAACCTCAACCTAGATGCCTTTCAGGATTTATTCAGTACCTTTTTCCTTGTTGAATAAAATAATTACGTGGGTTTTGCTGTGTTTTGTGGATTTTATCTTGATGGACCCTCAGTTGCTGGTAGAACACTAAAATACACAGGGAAATCTGTCTCTCATCCTTAGCAAATCTGGGAAAGCTAGACACTGATGTGCTTAAAACTACTGAGTTTTGATAAGCAAGACAGTCTGCTTCCACTTAAATGCTGCTCAGCTGGGAGGAGAGGTCTTGAGAAATTCTGGAGTTTTTCAGGAAGTCTCCCAGCTTCCCTGTCTAACTTTTGCAATAGAAACCTTAAGATGGATGGTTTTGGTGGGTTTCTGACTTGTGTTTTTTTTTGTCTTACTTTCCAGTTGGCCTGCTGCTGCGGTACTGCTGCTTGTTCCTTGTGCTGCAAATGCTGCCCCAAGATAAAGCAGTCAACCAGCACCCGCTTCATGTACGCGCTTTACTTCATCCTGGTGACCATCATCTGCTGTGTCATGATGTCCACAACAGTAGCTAATGAAATGAAAACTCACGTAAGTAACAGGGATGTGGTCACTGCTGCCCCTGGAAGAAAATGGGGCTCCTTCCACAGCTCTTTGTGTACAGTGGTGCTCTCTCAGAAGAGGTGATCAATTTCCTCCACCCATCCACTTCTAAACCCAGATGGGATGATTTTCCATGCTCAGTCTCTTGATTTTTCCATGCACAGCATCTTCCTGTCACCCATTGAGCTTGTTGCTCAACAGGAAGAGCCAAGGCCTAGCATCCTTCCTCTCTGGTGCAGAAATCTGCTGCAGTGAACCCACCCTTCCCCGGTTTGCTGTGCGGGCAGTGTCACAGGAGGGAGAAGCATTGGGGAACTTGTTTTAGTAGAACAAATCAGTCTAACCTTGATTTTTGTCTCTGGCAGTTTGTTTAGCAGCAGAAGCAGCAAATTCGAAATAACTTTTCAAGTGTTGCAATTTTAATTCTGCCAGTCTACTGCAAAGGACAATGCTGCAGAGCCTCTACAAGGGGTTTTCTGCAGTGTGTGTTGAGTCACTGTGTTCACATGGTCTCCAACCACAGCAAATATTGTTCATCTCTAATTGTCTTTTTAATTAGAGAGCTTCAAAAGCATGAAAGGAGCTGTGGCTGAAGCTGGACTTTAAAACTCAAGTTTCTTTCAGAGTTTTAATATAACTTTCCTAAGCTAAATGCTAACCAGCCTGCTTGTGCTCACACATTGGTCCTGTTGTACCACATATTTGGTTTGGCTTCATAAGCCACCCAAGTAGCACAAATCCTCTCTCTCACCCACTACGAATTACAATAATAAAACTCTGCTTTTAACTAGAGGGAATAAGGGCTGCGTTGCTTAATTCTTAAAAATGAAGATGCATCAAATGCATGATTGGGGCTGCTTCGGGAGTTGTGTATGTGCTTGTCTGGGAGGCTCAGAAGGCTTCCATCAGTGTGAGCATCTTGTTGTTTAGTGCTGCTCTCCCAAGAGAGTGTGGTTGCACAGCAAGGCCTCTTTCCTCGCTTAACCAGTTGCTGAACAAGCTGATGCCCTGGTTGCATTCTGCACTTGACTTTTGGTTGTCTATGAAACACTTCCCTCCAGAACATCCCAGATGAAGAAGCTGGTGGCAGCACCCCCTTCCTGCAACAGAGGTGAACCAGTGGGTTTATAGAAGGCTAATTTGGGGACTGCTGTGCTCTGCTGCCTGTGACCTTTCTTTCTTGCGATTGTGCCTTCTTTGTACGTTCTATCCTAATTTTCTTTTGTTTAATAACACTTTGCATGAGTTATCCTAGTGCCACATTTTACCCCAGGCCACCAGAAGCTGATGACCACCCTGTAGGAGCACCCAGTACAGACATGATGCTTGCCTGTAAGCTGTGACTTAAAAACTGTTCAACATGTGCGTGCTGAAATAGCTTGCCAGGAATTGCTTTGACTTACTAGATGCTTAGCTTGGCAATAAAGTGAATAACCCAAGGAACTTAAGTGTGTGGGAGACAAATTATGTGCTCATATCCAAATTTCATAAAGTTCTTCTCCATCAGTAGTGTGGTTTTAATGCAGCTTGTATCCCTAACAAAAAATATTCTTTATCCAACAGAGAAGTGATTCAAGAAGCCTTCAACAACATGCTTTTCAGTATTGCCAAATTTCTTTTCCAGTTCATAGTCTTGAAAGCTCAGTGTGGGAAGAAATGGCACAAAGAGTAGCTGTTAGTTTGAAGTGGAAGGATAATCACTGTCTTAGTTTAAAGCATTTGATGTCTTTGAATGGGAAATGGACCATCTGAAAGTAGGCTTTCTTTATCTGCTTTCTAATTTAATAATTATGTTCAGGGCTGTTAAAAGTTCAAAGACCTCTGAAGCTAATTCAGCACAGTTTTAATAGAGTGCACCTTGAAAATACTTATTCGGACTAACCAGTCTCAGCTTCTCAGTGATGAGCTGTGTTTTGAAAGTGCTGTGCACTTACTGATTCCTTTGCTTTTGGCTGGGTCATGGAACACTCCCAGCTTCTGAAGCCAGACTGTAAGCAAATACTTTGCATGATATTTTTTGGGATCTCGCCCTCTCTTTTTTTGAGAGAGAAAACAGATTTTGATTAATTTTAATCAGATTTTTTTAAAATTTTGTATTTAGGTAAGGAATATCAAATTTCAAATTGTAGTGCAGTCCTTTTTAGAGCTGTAATCTTGGCAAGGAACCATGTATCTCCTTTACCAGTGTAGAGACCAAATACTCATGCTGATCTTACATGGAAGGAATCTCTCTTTTCTCAGTGAGAGGTGTTTTTTTCTCTTTGGTTGTTTTGCTGCAAGTTCCCAAGTATACAGTAGTAGATCTCTGGGGAAAGAAGCAAGAGTCGGTGAAGGAACAGGGAAGAAGTTGATGGTTATTTGCAGAAAAATTTTGGGTAGTAAAATATAAAATAGATTTTGCAAGAGCAAGGTTGCATGTCAAGGCAAAAGATTGGGCATTCATCAATCAAGACATGTGAGCCCGCTGACAGGGACAGAAATACAGAAAAGACCAGTATGGAGTTACACTCCATATTGTGCTTCTGTACCTTGATCCATATATTTTTTCTTTTTCCCTGTTTTGCTGTTTTTTAAAAAAACAGATACAGCTCAACTTGCATGTGTTCTGTTGAAGAAAAAATTGTATTTCACAGGCTTTGAAAGCAAAATTTAGAGAAGAAAAGGGAAAGAATGGTTTTGGTCTCTTAAAACAATGTTTAGATTTTTTTTAACTTAAATTTTTAATATTAAAGCTCTTTCAAAACTAATGGCTTCAGTCTGAAAGTATCCATGTCCTACTTAATTAAGGAAAAGAAAAATAAGAAAGATATTTTCAGGAAAATAAACACCAGTAAAATTCAATTCAGTTGTGTGAAAGCATTTCAGTACAATGTGGTCACATGTTCCAGCAAAACGTACTTTCAGGCTTATTTCCCATGGTAGTTTATATCTTGGCCCTTAGCTGCATTATTGCATGTTAAACCCCAGATATGCTACCAAAAGAGCTCTGAGTGCAGGTGCCCATTGCATATTTATGATAAAACTTTAGCCTTAGATTCGTGATGATGTGTTCTGGTCTGATTGTTTCTTGGTTTTTTTATTTAATTTCTCAGCTGCCCAGGACAGGTGATTTTGTGTGCAGTTTTTTCCCTTGCTCTCTCACCTACCTGGATTTTCGTTCATGCATCCTTAACGATGTTTGCCTGCCATATTGTCCCTCCTTGGATGAGGACATCCAGGTGAAAGCAGGGTCCTCCAGGGCTGTTTCTACACACTTCTTCCTGCCTGTTCCCCTGGGATGCGCTTTGCCGTGCTCCTGAGCGCACACCTTTGGGTGCTGACAGACCCCACTCGGGGGTGGCCCGGCCCCAGTGTTGGCTCTTGCACCAAGACGGCTCAGTGTGTTTTCCGCTTGCACTGAGAGGAGAGCAAGCTCAGGACATCCTCTTTCTGTAGATGCTGCTCCAGTGTTGATCATCTCTGAGGGCTGCAGTGTGTGCTGGAAGATTGCCAGCTTTGCTGTGATAACATCATTGCTTGCACAGCAGCTGAGGCGTTTGTGTTATTGGAGCAGATACTGAGTTTCTGCAACAAGAATGCTTTGTCCTCTGCTTTTGGCAGGCCAAAGAATTTAGCTTCTGCTTTAAAGGTACAAAAGTAGCTATTTCACTGTATCTTGGCAAAAAATGAATATGTGATTTAACAGCTGTCAAAAATATCCAGCAAATGGTTAGCATGGTAAAGCACATAGGGTGGGCAGCCTTCTCAACAGCTGAACGTGTTTCAGAGATACGGATTGAAAAGAAACATTAGTCTTTTTTGTCTGTCACTGAAGTCACATAAGCCTTGATAAATTGTTCCCGGTGGTAGACCATCCTTTCACAAAAACATACCCTTTTTATTACACCAGTCCTATTGTCCCCAGCATTGTGCTTGTGTGTTGTATCTGTTAGGGCCTCCAAGAATTTGATTTTATTCTTGTTTGTTCCTTCAGGACCATGGGTCTCCTAAAAGAGCATTCAGTCTCATGGGACTGTTTCTGTGGCCATCACTTTTTACTGCATAGTGTGGTGAATACTACATGGTGGCTAAACTCTTTGTTGCTTATGTAGGGCAAACTGAGCTATTGTTCTTGTGAATCCATCTATTTTCTCTCAGCCAGACCTGTAATGAAGTTAATATTTACAGGAGGAAACAATGTATAGGTTCAAAAATCCCATCAAGACTTCTGTAGAAACCTGTGCAATTAAAGAAGGTGCCGATTTATGGCTACCCAAAGATCTGTTTCTAATTAGCTAGTCAGTTAATCAAGTTTTGTGATATTTTTGTTTCATTGTGTTTTATTCTGAAAGTCTTGTAAGTAAACAGATCTTGTAAAAATCTGTCTCTTCGGTGAGTACTATCATTGATGTCAAACAAATAAGTAATTTTCTCAGAAATATTTTTAGTTCAATATTATGCCATTTTCTAACCTCTCCTGATTGATGGTTATTATAAGCAAAGAACAGGAAAGCATTAATTGATAGCCCAGTTGCTTTCCCTGGCATTGTTGCAGCCCCTTGGCTCGCCCTGGCATCGCTGTAGCATTGATAGTTCTCATAATTATTCCAGTCAATCCATTTGCTCATTTTGAATGCTGGTGTGTTTGCCCAGTCTGACATTTCATTACTTTCCAAGACCTGGGAAAAGTGTTGCTGATGCTGCAGACAATTCCTCAGGAGCTTTCCAAAAACTCTTGGATGCAAGTTAGCCACAGCTACTTGTTTAATGTCCAGCTTCTTTATGCAGTGGCTACTAATCTCTAAGTTACTGCTGAAAGAGCAGCTTGGAGTGGCCCAGCTTGAATCCATTCCTGTAACAGCACACAGCTGTGCTGTTGGTGATGAAACAGCAGTTTTCATCTCCTCAGCTGGTTCTGGCCCACCAGAGATCAGCTCCCCATTGTAGTTAGGTTTGCTACCCTTAGCTCAGCCACTCAGGTGCTGCTGTGAGCTCCTCTTTTTGAGAAACGGCTAGGAGGGTTGTTGAGCCCCTGACTGGTTTGGATTCCTGGAATATGGATTGAAGTTGCATATCCTGCTGAGAGAGGTGGGCTTTCAGAGCCTGGTGGCTGGAAGCTGGCAGTTTACTTGTTTATCACTTGTTCGCTGCCTCTCACAGGGCTTTCTACCTGGCTGGGAATGCTGCCTGATGGCTAGCACACAGACCCTGTTATTCTTTCATTGTTATGGCTTTGTGTACTGACCTGCTTGCTGAATAAAGGGGTTTCCTTTGCCATAGCTGTTGGTTTGTGCATGCTGCTTCCTGCTACATGTTGGCTTCTCCTTCCTCCAGTCACCTGCATGGATAGCAGCAGTCAGCTCCAGAGGGTTTAACAATGTTGTTCAACTGGTCTTACCAGCCTCAGCTGAAGGCTGTAAGCATACAGAGAGGCCCTTTTTTTCTTTGAAATGGATAGTGGTTTTCTAATTAAATTCCTGTGTTTCTGTGCAGCTAAATGGTTCTCTGGCTGTGAGGAGCCGATGTCTACACAGAGGTGCCTCACAGCAGCGGGTCCTGGCCGCACAGACCTGGTTTTTTGAGCACCCAGCATCATATTCATGTGGTGAAACTGAAGCCAGAATGTGCAGCTGTTTGTTTTCCCCTTCGTGGGGAAAGGCCTCAAAGGCAAATATTTAATGAGTCAAGAGAGGCAGGAATATTCCATCTTTCTGTTAATTTAAAACAAAATCAGGTCAACTGGCACAGCTCCCTTTCAGAAGCTGTGATGGAGAGGAGGGTGGTTGCTGCCCCTGTGACACTTGGGTGTGGTTCAGTCTGCCTTTCCAGCCAGGGCAGCACAAGCCGCTGGTGGGCCTCATTTAAGCTGTATTACTGAAGCAATCAGTCTTTTGCTGTACAGTGTGGGAAGAAGGGATAAACTCCCTAGGGTGAGGGAATAACCAGTAATGGGCAGGAATGGCATGAACCAGGAGCGATGAAGGAAAGTGGACTTGTACCCCAAGGGATCTGTAAAGAATTGAGAGAAGGCTCTGTAAGAGTTCAGTCCCTTGTGTTTTAGATTTTGTTATATCCCCTGAACCCTGAAATCCTGGCTGAAGGGATGTCAAAAGTCAAAGGTATTAAATGAAGCCAGTGAAAAGTCAGCAGTGCACAGATGTACACGTGCTTATGTGTGCTTTGTGTCCTTTCTAACAGTTTATATGCAATGTGTTCTGCTTTCAGATTCCCTTCTACAAGCAGATGTGCAAGGGTATTCAGGCGGGTGAGATGTGTGAGAAGTTGGTGGGATACTCTGCAGTGTACAAAGTCTGTTTTGGAATGGCCTGTTTCTTCTTTCTGTTCTTCCTGTTCACCATCAAAATTAACAACAGCAAAAGCTGCCGAGCATACATTCATAATGGGTGAGTTTTTTATTTGATTGCCTAATTTGAACATCTCTTTACAAATTTGTGCCACAAACTTCCTACTTTGGTGTAGTACTAGGCAGAAAAAAAACCCAAAACTCAAAAAAACTTCACTTTGCTCTTACTGTTAGAAATAATGTGGTCAAGTGAAAACTAAGGAAAGCAGTAATCAGTCATCAGAGGACAGGTTTTTTCCTCGTTACGCTTTAAATAAAGATTTCTTGTGTTACTAAAGTTGAAAATCTCTAATTCCTATTACAACCAGATTGTTTGTTGGTTTGTTTTTTTTTTTTTTTTTTTTTTTTTTTTTTCTCTCATACAGATTCTGGCTTATTAAACTTATAGTTTTGGCAGCAATGTGCTCAGGAGCTTTCTTCATTCCTGATCAGGACACTTTCCTCAATGGTATGTCTTCTTGTTTTGTTATGCTGCTTCATTCTCTGCTATCTTGTGAGTGGTTAAAAATCTGAGAGATATAATCAACATGAATATTGCCTTGTTTCTTCAAGTAAAGCCTTTACAGGCCAGATGCAAAAATAGTGTTTGGGGGGAGCACTATGTGTGCAAACTACATGGTCTTCATGTGAATGTGCATGTTTTTTTTCTGACCAAGAGCAGGGCAAAGTGGTAGGTAACAATACCACTGCAGCAATTCTTTAAGAATTCTTGCCAATTCTTTAAGAAATATGGAACTATAATGGTGCAGAAGGAGTTATTCACTCAAGAACACTACAGAGTTGCATATTAGTTTGGCTTGTGCAGGTAGCTCTGGCACAGTGCAGCAGTCAGGCTGCCCAGTGGAGAGGTGCCAGTGCTCCAGGAGGCACAGTAACCTGCTGGGCACTGGTGTCTGCTGCCTGGAAACTTGCAGTGCCCCAAAAGAATTTAGGATGTTAATTTTCAGGTTGGGGGCATACATGCAGTAAAGTAAAATTAGAGTTCTTGGGCCCTGGTACATGTGCTCTGCTGAGGATGCCATGTCAGAAGCATTTCCAGTTTTGGAAGGAATGCTGGCAATAGCACAGGTCTGCTGAAGTGCCAGCTGGGAGGGGAGTTTAGCACAGAAGTCTTGTGGGCTAGAAGCAAAAATCCTGGTGATACCAAGATGAGTTTGTTCTCTTACATTTGCTGTAAGTACATCTTACAGCTACTTGTAAGCCCTTAAACTGTGGGTTTGAACAGGTGATGGGGGGTGAGATGGGATCGGTAAAGCAAAGGAGCAGTTGTGCATGCTGCCTGCTTCCACTAAGATTTGCTTGGTTATCTTGTTCTCAACACTCTTCTGCTCTAGCCAGGATGTTTAAAAGGGCAGGAGGGAGGGGTAACATGGGGCAGAGAATGGAGTGGGCAGACAGACTATGAGCACAGTACACTGGGAAACTAAAGTAAAAACCACTACAAATAAACCACTGACAGGTATAGTTCAGCTTCTTGCTTTTGGTGTTTGTTTGGTCCTAGCTCAGTTGAGGCCCTCTTCCATGTCCTCTCTGAAGTTGTGGGATGGCTGTGTATGTGTTTGTCCTTAGGATCTATTCTGTTTGGATTAGATGTAGCAGTACAATGCCTTGTACTCGTGAGCGGGTGAGACTGCCTGTCATCTTGGCAAGTGACCCTTTTCATGGTGAAACGTCTTCAGGAACTGATGTGGTTGCAGAAGAGGAGAAACAGAATTTTTTGTGCTGATTCTCAACAGCAGTCTAATGTAGTCTGGGGATACAGCATAATGAACTTTCTTCCCCAAGCTAGTTCATGACTTTTCACTCCGAAGTACTCCAACTTCTGCTAAACTAGATGTAATCACAAATTTCCATTACCTCTAGTCTGCCCCAGAATTTGAAATTTACAGATGGTTTGGGTATAGTATGTTTGTGGAGTTTTCTCCCCTCCTTTCAAGAAACTTACACGGTCTTTTGGTTGCTTGTTTTGTTGTTTTATTTTTTTTTTTTTTTATTGAGAGGCGCTTTTTTTTCCTTGAAAAATAAAATCTCGTGCCATGTTTCTCAAGCAGTTTGTTAATCATGGAGGGGGAAGATCATGTGCAAGCAGTAGGTTTCTGTAAGTTGTAGTGTTAAATCCACACTGGCTAGGCTGATCTTACCTGTGATTGATCCATAAACGTCTGCAGTATACCCTGGCAGAGGGAGATCAGGAGAGTCTATTTAATTGTTCACTCCATTGGTGGTCTCACCTTTCCTACTCTCCCTTTCATAAATACGTGCCACTTTGTGCCCTGCCTGTTTTTTATGTACTTTTTTACAGAATAACTTAATCTGTTTTTTTGTTTTGTATGTTTGAAGAAGCTTGTCAAGTGTATACAATATGTTTAGTAAACCAGACAATGACATTTTTGCTTGCTTTTAAATAATAAGCTTATGAGAGAGTAAGGGAAAAAAAAATCTCTACATCAACTGCTAATGGGAATGAGCCCTGACTGTTCCGTTCTTCCACTTAACTTACACAGGCTTTTTTTTTTTTTTCAAAACAAAAGCACAATGAAAGGATATAGCTGAATTTTGCTGATGCATTTCCTTGGTCTTTTCTTCTCTGAAATCAGTTGCTCATCTGGAGTAATTTGTAGGCTGTGTACTGCAGAGCAGCACAAGCTGTATATACAGCTAAAAATTAAAATAGGTATCTGTATTTCCTCAGACACTTCTGATGTTGCATGTAAGAAATCTGTTGTCTAAAACATCTAAGCAGCTACCCAAATGCAGTATATGTAGGTCAACAGTTAAGTACCCAAATAACCTGTCCTAAAACCAGTCAGTGAATACTAAGTGTTCCTTGGGAGTGGCTTGGAACAGCATTTGTGAATAGATAAACCCCACCTTTGTTTTTCTGTGGTACTGGAATCTGGAGAAGAAATTGCCCATTTTTAGTAATGACTGGGTTCCAGTACCTTGCAATTGCAGGGTTTGGATTCCTGTGGAATGCCTTCACAGCACCTCCTTTCTGTCAGTCACAAATAAAGGTTTCAGTATTTTCTGTCTGAACATAGTAACTCATAGGCTCCACAAAAATTTTCTAGGTTAGGGAAACCCAGTAGCTGTCCTGACATGATTATATTGAAAATGTAGCAGGTTGCAAGCTGAATTCATAAGGGAGCTAATATTGAGTTAACTGAGGTGGCCTTTCATCTGAAATCTCTCATCTCCTGCTACCTTTGTGAGCTTGAGATATTCAACCACATTAACAGCTTCACTGCATAGACAATAAATCCATTTTATCTCAACAGAAAGGCGTTTGACCTATTTTCTGCCTCTCTGCCTTGCAGCCTGGCGCTATGTAGGAGCAACAGGAGGGTTCCTTTTCATTGCCATTCAGCTCATCCTGCTGGTTGAGTTTGCACACAAGTGGAATAAAAATTGGTATGTGTTGGGCAAGTAGTTATTTGCTTAAAATTCTGGTGGACTCCTGACCAATACTTTTCTCGTAACAAAGAACGTAGTGTCTTGGATGTAATTTTTGAAAGACGATAGTTGAATCAGAGCTGTTCATATTTGCTTCATCTGCTTTCTCCTTCCCCAGCAGAAATGTTTCCTTATTGCTCATTTCTACTCTGCTGATTTATTTTTAACCTGAACCGCTTGGCTTCCATTTAGTAGTAGTGTCTTGGAATGCAAAAATTTCTAACTATAAGTTATTATGTATTTTATATGAAAATACATCTGCTAAATGGAGTGGTGCAAGAGAATAAAACTGGAGTTGAAAAATGTATTAGTGAAACTGTGTGCAATGTTGTGAACTGATAAATCTGCTTTTTCTATGTCAGCTTAATGGATGTCAATTTTCTTTCTCAGATGGAGACTGCTAATTTGTGTTCAGCTTCTTTCTTGTCATCTAAATAGGCAAGATTCCATTATCAACCTAGATATACAATATTTGGGCATTGACTTCATTTTTGGTTCAAGTATATTTTCTATTACTGTCCTAGCTCTTCACCTCTCATCAAATTAAAATATTTAAGTTTTCCTCCCACATGTATTTTCCTGCCTCCACCTCCACCCTTTCTGTCTCACATTTCCTCCTCTACAAACTCTTGCAGCAATTTCTTGTTCTAATTAAAATACCTGCTAAGAAGGAGTTTTAGCAAACCTTCGGCTTTGATAAATTCCTGTTACAGGGAGGAAGAGGTGAGAACTCCTTATACCACAGATATTTTTAGTGCTAATTACTGTAGCTGATTTTTTGTGGATGAAAGACTTCCAGCACCAGCATTTAACTTTAGCTATCTTTACATTAGATATTCTTTTAAAATAAGTCCTGTTTCCACAAAACCACAGGAAAAAAGCCCCACTGAAAAGAATTTCCATCTGCAAAACAGCCCGTTCTTTCAAAACAAAAACTTCTTTTAAACCCTGGTGGGCTTTGCAAGAGATGTTTGGAAGACGAAGAAAGGAAAACAAGATGAACCACTCTTTAGCTGAGAGAGGCTGGTGGTTAGACTCAAACTGAGAGGAGGCTGAGCGAAAGAGTAGTAAAACTTTCAAGGTGGTACAAGGAACAGAAGAGAGGCCATGCCATGAGCAATAAACCCCTGGTTTCATTGTGTGGAGAATTGCTAGCCCAGCCTGGGATACTTGGAGTTGCTGCTGAGGAAACTCCTGAAGTATTGAGCTGAGATATGCTGATGGGCTGATCCCAGAGGACTCCTGGGAGTTTTAGGAGTCAACACTGGGCTATAATTACAAAAGGAGCTGATTGTGATAGTACAGAAGATAAACACTGATGCTAAGGAATGTTTCCCTCTGTTTCATGGGTAGGAACCTTGCAAGAATATCTGTGCTGGTGTAGTGACGCACGCATGCCTGGGGAAAGTAAACGCTGTCTTTTGTGTTTGAGGATATGAACTCTTCAGCTGTTAGAATTTTATGTTCTGGGCAAGTGAAGACAAATACAAGATGCTTGTCTCTCTCTCCCCAGGACTGCAGGTGCAAACCACAAGCAGGTGTGGAATGGTCTGCTTGCCTTGGTCACTCTCATCCTGTACTCCATTGCCGTGGCAGCTCTGGTGCTCATGGCTCTCTTCTACACGCGCCCAGAGGGCTGCATGTACAACAAGGTGCTGATCGGAGTGAACGGCGGCCTGTGCCTCTTCGTGTCCCTGGTGGCCATATCGCCCTGCGTCCAGAACCGTGAGTCCCCTGACCTGCTCTGCTGCTGGGTTCTTGCTGCTGCCGCAGTTGTGTGCCTGGAGGCAAAAGCCATGTCTGCACAGAAAGTCTAATAGTTCAGAGTTGGTGCTGCTCTTGACTCTATCTACATATCTGTCTGAAGTGCTGTCGCTCATTGTCAGCTTGACTGCTGAAACCACAGAGGTGTGGGGCGTTCTGGGTGTGCCATCAAGCACAGTGTAGAGAACACCCACCTGCTGATGGCTGGTGCTGTGTTGTGAAATTTACCTAAGTCTGGCAGTGGTAGCTCTCAAACTCACTACTGTTTTACTATTTACTTTTGACTTCTTGGGATTTATAATTTGTAAAGTTTGGGCCTGGTGGAGTTACCAGCAATATTTTATACTTCATGTGCTGTTAGTATCTTGCAAGCATTGGGCCTGAAAATAGTGGAGTGACTCCAACCGAGAGATTACAGGCAAGTAAAATTATTGTGGCAGCTTTTGAAAGTGGCTGTATTTGGCAAAAGCATAGAGGTGATTCTTTACTTACACGGGAATCACTAATAGTTTCCTAAAACAGCGCACAGAACTAAAGGATAGACCTTTTTTTCTTTATTGGACAGTGGAACTCTATCTAAACTGCCTCAAACACTCACTAACTGCCTTAAGTGAAAAAAAAAAAAAGATACTGGTGTGCTGTTATTTAAAGGAGATAAATTTCTTTTTCAGTTTGCTAAAATGTCTACAAAAATAAGTAATTTTTCTTATTCTTGTAAAGGCCAGCCCCATTCTGGCTTGCTGCAGTCGGGAGTCATCAGCTGCTATGTCATGTACCTCACTTTCTCGGCACTATCCAGCAAACCACCAGAAACAAGTAAGTTATCTGTTGCCTTCTGGTGCAAGGCAAGGCGACCTGGTTTCAATGAGCAGCACGGCAACTCAAACTCACCAGGGTTACTCGGGCCAAAGACACAACGCTGACACCAATGTGGTGGACGGTCAAAGGCGTTTATTGTTTCATCTCGTGGGGTTATATACTCTAGGGTGCTACTCTATGTCACAGGGGGTCGGCTTATACTGTTTTACAATTAGTAAGGAGAGAAAAGCTACTAGAGTTAGGGAGGTTGCATTCTTTGCTTATCTCAGGAGATTAAGGGAGAAGGGAGTCTTGCAGCTGCAGCTTTCTGTGACATCGTGTAATCTTCTGCTCGCCTATCCCTGTGTAACACATCATCACTACAGTTACCTAATGCTTTATGTAAATGCTTTTAAACATATTGTGCATTAAAAGTAAGAATTTAGCAAACCTGGATTAACAGGCTTAAGGATATAGAAGTGCTGGGTTTGGTCTTCACAGAAAAAATTGCAAATAAATCTGTGCAGCCAAGAGACTGCAATTGGCACTCTCCCTGGGTGTTAAATGCTTTGGTATGGGGGCACTTAACTTACCTTGGGTGAGTTGCATCTGTTGCACCATTTCCTGTAAACAAATTTCCCAAAGTCTTGTAATCTACTCCTCCTATGAGAAGTACACATTCTCATAATGCTGAGTATGACAAAATACGTAATGTGTTAGGTCACGTGGTAGGAAAGGGTTGGAACAAATGGCTCTTGGATTCCTCTGGAAGAAGCTGGGTGATCAGCTCCATCCAGAAGTTTACAAGGTCCAGTTAGTAGGTGCTGGGCATCAAAGTGGATACTAATATGACACTTTTTTCTCCTAGAATTGGTCTGCTAATGAAGCAAAAACTTGAGTACCACTTGTATTTCATTTTGAGAGGAAATTTTAGAAGAAAGGACTTGGAGTTATGTCTCAGAGTTTTGTTGCAGCTGAGATGATGCTGTTCTTCAGCAGAGCTCTTGAACTCCACTTGCCTTTCAGCCACTAGTTTGCAGTTTGGGAGTATGGAACTCACTAGAGTTTTAAGTACTTGACACAGCAAAACCAGAGCAAGACTTTACAGCATAGTTAAAACTTTCCTCTACCCAAATAAATGTCAGATTCATATGTTTGCATTGGAAGCATTCTTTTCACCTAGAGAAGCTTTTTCTGGTTTGAGTTAGTACACCCTTTCTTTATTATTGCGCAGCTTTTAGTGTTCAATAGCTGAAACAACAACAGCTGGAGGAAAAGAAGTCCAGTGACAGGAAGGAAAAGTTTATACAGACACCTCTCAAGAAGAAAGGGGAGGGGTGAGGGAAAAAGTCTGTCATACTTGTGTGGGTACAGATATACACACAAGAGTATTCTAGAGTTAGGAAGTAAACCAGACAGTATTTAGGTGTAAAATTTATTTACAGAACTTTAGCCATGTTTTGAATTAATATAAATATGAATTTAGAAGACATCAGAGTTACTCAGAAGTCTGTCCACAGTGTAAAAAGAAGGGGAAGAAAGCAATATATGGAATCAAATTATATGCCTTGTGCTGCTTAATGCTTGTCACAGACAAAGTCTTCAGCAGTTAAGTGAATGTTCTAATTCTTCTTGTATATATTGCAAGTTGTGGTTATTGCATTTGTTAGAGTGTGCATCAAGCACGCTCTCAGACCTTCTTGTCTTCCCATGTCTGAGAATTTTCACAGTTCTCATCTACTCCCAGAGGTGCTGCTTCTTCACCTGTCTGTGTGATAAGGACTCCACATTTGCTTCTCAGCTTTCACAGTGGCATGTGCTAGAGAATGTGTGAGGTGCTGGTGCTTACTGTGGGGTCCCAGGCCCTGTTACTCAGGGAACAGGGCCTGGGACTGGGCTGGCCTTGCCGTGAACTTACCTAAGACTGATTTGACTGAGAACAAGGCAACTACTGACCACCTTTTTTTACTGTGTATGGATTTCATAGTTGTCTTCAAGGCACTCTTTCTGTCAAAGAGATTTCTGGTCTGAGGTCTATACTGTCTTAGTCTTACATGGTTTTGTAGCCTTGGGTGAAGTGTTGACAGACTTCCAGCTTCCTGTTTCTTAGTTCACAAAACAGTTGGTTTTTTTCCTTGTTTGTCTCTTATGGTCAGACAGGAAATTTTAGTATACTACTAAGTTGCATTTTTGTTTTGTCTGAAACACAGTCTGCAAGGTCAGATTTACCCGGTTTTTCTCTGTGATCTTTCTAAGAGATAGACAGAAACAACTGAAATTTACCTACCTCCTATCAGATAATAAAAATTCAGTTAAAGCCTTCAGTCTGAAGACTACTTTAAAATGCAATGAAATGAGCTCTGCAAACTGTTCTTTTTGTTTGTTTGTGAAGTCCTGGATGAAAACAACCAGAATATCACAATCTGTGTACCTGAATTCAGTCAAGGCCTGCACAGAGATGAAAACCTGGTTACTGGCTTGGGCACTACGATTCTGTTTGGCTGCATTTTATATTCTTGGTAAGTCTGGGAGTTTTCAGTTACCTTTCTGTAAGTGCAATGTTGTGGTCCAAAGAGTGAAGGTTTATAGCAGACCTCATGCAAAGTCACAGAGAGCTGTGGAATAAAGCTGAGCTGGAAGGTTTGTATTTTCCTCAGCTTCAGAATTTTAGACGTTTTAGCTAAAAATGTTCAACAAGATAATGCAACTTTCGAAACAAATATATCTCATTAAAATCAAGTAGGGCAATTTATCTAGAGGCAGAGGGAAAGAAATTCCACCTGTCTGTGATCCCAGGTAATCTCAGTGTTAAACTCCAAAACTCTATACAGTTACATTCACCTGAAAAATCTGTCTGAAATTTTTGTAGCCTCCTGGCAGAGGCTATGACTGTCCTTGAAGATCTTGAAAACAAACTATCTGTTGGGAGGGTTTATGCCTTCCTTTGAACAAATGATGAACACAGTATTGCCATCAGGATTTGCCATTGATCTGCTCTAAAAAAAAAAAAACCCGCTTGTGCCTGTGCTGCTCACCTTTGATGCTCATCTTGTATTATTGCAGCTCACTTCAATAAATTAAGTTATGCTCGGGGACAGGGAGTTGCCGGTGATTGAGAGGTAGTGTGTCATTTATTTTGGCTGTGCAGCTTACCAGGAGACAGGCAGCACTGCCTGTCTGCTGCTGGTTTTGGAGCAGGTTCTGCTACTGAATCAATCCACTTCAAAATTCACACAAAGAAACCCCTTCGTATTTTTGTGAAGTAAAAACAAGAGACTTACTATTCTGTTTATCAAATACACATGTTCCATTTTGTTCTGATACAAAATATATAAATATGGATATAATGGATCTAGTTCACATTAGAAGGGCACTTACAGTGCATCAGGGAGGTGTTTCAGCACGCAGACAATATTCATGTAGCCTGCCACTGAACTGTACCGTGTAGCTGGGGAGGTAAGAATACCTTCAAGGGGAGTGTTTTGAAGCATTTCTTGCCAAGGCTCAGTCTGTACACTAAAGCCTTCTTGTGGGTAATGGGAAATTTGCATTTCCCATCCTAAAAGGGCAGGGCAGAGCAAGAACTGTTTCCTGTCAGAAGAAAGTAGAAAGGATTCCCCCACAGATAACTACAGTCATGCAAGAAAGTAATTTCTAGGAGCTGGTACACTGACAACAGTTGCTGGTAATTTACTTTTGAAAACTGGCTGCCAGAGACCTGTGAGTTTGCTGGCAAAACCTTTGCAGAAATGCTGAGCCAAAGTGATGGCTGTGAACTGAATATAAATGCACTGGTTGTGCACAGCAGGGGAGATCTCTTCTGGCTTGCAAATTGGAGCACTTAGATTTTGCTGCTGTCAGATGGTGGTGAATTCATCACCTTTTTGGAGTGACCTACTTTTAAGCTCATGATTCAGTCTGAGCTGGCCAGTGGCCATCTGCCAGGCTGGTTTCTACCTAGTGCAGGACAAACTTTTCACATACTTAGTGCTTGATGATAGCATCCAAGCAAATGCTTGGCTGAGACATGGGAGTAGACTTTTTATGTTTGCTGTGATGTTGAAGAGTTACCCTGTTGGGGCTATAGTTATGCGCAGGGCTTTGACACTGTCTTCTTTTCCTTCTAGTTTGACCTCAACAACACGTGCAAGCTCAGAGGCACTGAGAGGAATATATGCAACAGCTGAAACTGAAGTGAGTTCTTGCTTCTTCACACAGGATTTTTGTGTAGACTTTTCCCCATGCTTTTATTGCTGTTGTTTTTGTGGCCAGTAATCTGAAAAGAGAAGCTATTCTTGGTAGCATGTATGCTATGTGCCGCTGGGTATGGGCTCATCAGAACATTTATCCACATTGGCCCTTCTGTAGGTGTTGCTGCTCCTGTGGAGGTGCCTTTATGTACTGAAACTGTTTGCTGCTCTTGAACTTTATTCAGCATCCTGCAGACTTCCTGTAAATCTTGTGTTCAACATGAGCTCATGTCCTCTCATTTAGGGGAAAAGTGTGCTGGAAAGCTACCAGAAGAAAAAGTGGAGGAGTTCTTGAACATTTTCAGTCCTGGTTGCCTTTGTTCTCATAGCAACTAAGATCCCAAGTTCTTATCTCTTATTTTTATTTCCGTACATAAGTAGTTCCTTTCTTTTTGCCAATAATTTAATCTCTGATTGTATTTCTTGTCCCTGTTTCAGCTGTACAAATTTCTTTGTTCCACCTACATGTTACTTTGGCTTCCTTGTCCTGGGAACACCCAGAAAACTCTGGGAAATCAGTGGGGTTTTGCTAAGTAGGAGTTGCCCCTTGCTTAGCTTGCTAGAGATGCTCTTCAAATATATGTGAGTGTTTAGAAGATAAATCTTCATCCCTAGCTCTTTTTGCATAGGTGTTGCTTGCATCTGCAGTTTTAGCTTCCATTTCACAAGTTTTTAATCAGAGTGTGAGAGTTCAAAAACACAGAGGTATCTGCAGAGGCCTTTGGTGTTTGCAGTAGCTGGGTGTGGGGAATCATAAGACATTCCAGTGTGGGAGTGCCAGGGTGCCGGGGTGCTTCCCTGTGGCAGGATGCTGTGGCTGGACAGGGCGCCCGTGCCAGCCCAGCCCTCGCTGCCAGCTGGGCACAGGGCACCCAGGCTGGCATGGCCTGCCGTAGGCAGGTCCTGACGGGGCCTGTGCCTTCCTGCCCCGTGCTGAGGGACAGGACGGGGAGCACTGCAGAGAAAACAGCCCTTTGTGCCCCTGCACCTCCTCTGCCAGCCGGGCACTGTAGGAGGCCTCTGCCAGAGGTGTGGCTCTGTGCCTGTGGAGGAACAGCGGGAAGGCTGGGACCTATGGCACAGCATGGATTTGGGATGTGGCCCCTCACCGGGAAGGTCCATCTCGTCAGCCAGAGTACTTGCCCACTGGAATAGTTCTGGTTTGTTGGGTTTTAAAGAGTGTACAAGAGCCACTAAATGTAAATATAAAGAAAGGAGAGCAGAAGAAGATAAATAAAAAGAAGAAGAGCAGCTAACTGCACTCCGATTGCCTCCAGCCCAGAGAGGGTTTGTCAGCTCTGCTGGAGGCAGCTGAGTGTTAGGGGTTAGGGCGGGTGTGCCAGCGTTGCTAATTTCAGTCTGTGCCAGGACTAAATTACAGCTGGTTAAAATGTTGAAGGGAACCCCAGCGCTTGCTTCAGAATGTGAGTAGAGCCCCAGCACAAGGCAGGCTGGCACTGCAGGTGAGACTTGGCACAACAAGAGTAGAAAGAGGTAGAGAATAAGGAGTTTACATAAAATCTCGGACAGTCTTTTGAGAAAGAATGAGCTTTTTGGCTTTTCCTGAGTTTATGAACCCACTGAGTACAGGTAATCAGGGATACGTGGGGGGAACCTCTCACTTGCTGTTTCTGCTGGACATTTTACTTTCAAGACCTATTGTCTGGGAAAGCGTGCAACCAGTCCCTGCAACAGGAGATAAGCTATAACACAAAGTTTAGAAGTGCAAAGCATAAATATTTACTCATGTGTATGTGGTGTCCCAACCAAACTGGAGCATCCCAAATGTGGTTTTACACAAGGGTCTTCTACCCTTCAGGCATTCAGGTGCAGCGTGATTTGACTAATCACTGACACCGACACCATCGTTACTAATCATAATAAAACTTTTCAAAACAACTATATTTCTGCAGCAGTCTTGCTGCTTGTCTGTTGGTCCAGACATCCTTTTAAGTCAGTCTTGAGATAGCTACTTATCTATGATGCTGCTATGGTTTCAAAGGTGTTTTGGAGGCCCTAGGATGCTGGCCTTACCTTGGCTGTCCAGCACCATGTTTTATCCTTCATGGACAGCTCTAAGTTTCCAAGCAGCGATGTCCTTATTTTCAGGACTGGGCAGTCCTTTAGTTTGTTTTACTTAAGTGTGGACAATACCAAAGTCTCCAGTAAAATTCCAGTGCCTCATTACATTGTACAGTATGTTGTGAACAAGTAAACAAAGTTAACACACTTTCATGGTATAAAGACTAATATAGCAGGAAAGTGAATTTTCCTAACATTCATTGTCTTAATCAGACCACAAGCAAAAGAAACCCCAGAGAAGGATACTATGAGTACAAATAATAGTTGTGATGTGCTACAGAAAGTGCTGACTTTAACTGTAGTCTGGTGCAGGAAATACTCTTATATTTGTTCATTAGATGATCAGCGCCTTTTCTCCATTTACATTACCATTCAACACACAGAAAGTGTAAATTTCAGCTTTTCTTTCTCCATCAGGTTAAAAAAAGAGGAAATCTTAATTTAATTAATAATTAAATTATTTAATTTATTTAAATAAAATAGGACAACCAGTTTTCTGCTTTTATTCATTCTTCTTGTGCTCTTTCTGGCTCTATTTCAGCAAAATCTTGCAAAGAGAAGTACATATCATGCTGGTACAGTTGTAATTTCCAACCTATGCATCAGAACTTTAAAAGTCCCTTATACTTTCATCTTAGTACAGAAATGTCCTAAAAAGCACTTGTATGCACATCTAAATAGATAAGTCCCCTAAATATGAATGTGCTTTATTGTAGCTTTTCCACCATTTTTTCATAATTATATGAATCTGTGTTGGACCTAGAGTTATGTAAAATGCGTAGAGTAATTTTTAAAGACTGGTTCATTTCTTCAAATTTACTGAGCAGGTTTTTCCAAAGCTTGGAAACTGCTGGTCTGAGCTACTGAGCAAATCCTAATTTAAGTTTTGTGCTGGTTGGAAATACAAACCAGACTTTTCTAAATTAGTGTCTGTAGTTTAGACATAACAGACCTTCCTTCCCAGCAGTTCTGCTTTGCTGTAGCACAGGTTCTTACCCCCTTCCTGTTGTCTGTTTCACAGGTAGCTCGTTGCTGCTTTTGCTGTGTACCTGATGGAGACGGTAATTATGTTTTCTCTGCGCAGTTTACCATATTTGTGGCTTTTGGACCAAAACCAAGAGAGTAAGGACACAGCTGTGGATGGAGAGCTGCCTCATACCCTCATTCAATAGAGTATTGAATGCAAACTGAAGCAGATGAAGTGCTCCGAGTTAGGCTACAGAGAGAAGCAAGAGATGTCACAACACCATTTCAAAAATACTAGCAATACTAGGCTAGTTAATAATTCTTTAAAGTACATTTCATTCCTGCAACATACAAAGAGTAATCTCTGTTTTTGGCATGCCTGTGTGAGTGTACCTGGCTGCTGGACTTCTGGCTCAGCAGCTCTGCAGGGACTGCAGTTGAGGAGTGAGATAGGAAGGGAGTGTCCTATTTACAGACCTGGTACAATCAGGATTATCAGCTTGGACTTGCCAGAAGAATATTGCACAGGTAGAGCAGTTTAAATGCTCTCAATGCTCAGAATCTACTCAGTAAACCAGGAAGCTGTTACAAGGCAGGATTTCAGTTTTAGTCCAGTTTTTCACTCAGGGGTTAGGCCCACGCCCTGAGGATGAGAAAATGTTTCAAGTGTTACTCTGTGTCAGTCGCGCTTTCCCAAATCACACCGTAGATGTTTCTCTGTGTTCTCTGTGAAGCCAGCTGCTCTTTTCAGTTCTCACTACATTTGCAAAGCTTTCTTGTTTCCTGTCTCTTACAGCTGATGCTGAAGAGCATGTTGAAAAAAGGGGAGGCCAGACTGTGGTTTACGATGAGAAGAAGGGCACAGTGTACAGTTATGCCTACTTCCACTTTGTTTTCTTCCTGGCTTCTCTCTATGTGATGATGACAGTAACTCATTGGTTCCAGTAAGTGTATTTCTTTAATGTGTTTCTTCAATGCCGACAAATTAACATCTCTCTGTGTTGGGAGGGAAGATGTGAACAGGAAGTTCTGCTGTGTGGGTGCTTCCAGTCTTTGTGGTAGAAGTTTGAAGAGATGTTGCAAGTCGTTCTTGGGCATTCTTAAGCAAGATATTGCTCTATAAAGGGCTGCTCTCCCTTGCTTCCTCCATGGCTTAACCTAGTTAGTCTTTTGTGTCATTCTATTTTTTTTTCCCCTTTACAGTTATGAAAGTGCTCAGATTGAAAAATTCTTCACTGGAACCTGGTCTATCTTCTGGATTAAGATGGTCTCCTGTTGGGTTTGTGTCTGTCTGTACTTATGGACTCTTATTGCTCCACTCTGTTGCACAACCAGGGAGTTCTCAGTGTGAACAGTCTAAAGGTCATTTAAAGTTTTTCTCTTTTTGTTTATTTTCTTTTTTTTTAGGAATGAGGAAACACGAATTACCCACTTATAATGTACCAGTTATTACCTTTTTAGTTAGACTAAACAAATGATTGAAGACTTTTTTTACCATTTTTTATTATCATGAACAAGCATTGCCTAAGGGAAAAATCTGTTTTGAAACTTTACAATGCTTATGTGTGGTGTGTAGAAAACACAGTTGTTGCATAAACTGGAATAAGTGGAATACTCTTCAAATAACTGACAATCTTTTTCTGGCTTCATTGACAAGAAAAAAAAACTTATGGTGCAGATGGTATCTTCTTCCTAGGAATGTTTGGTATCTTCCAGCAAATATGCATTAATTCCTTTTTATACTCTTTTATTAACTGTTTCTTTTACAGTTTGCAGTGATGATTTGGACTGCTGTTTTGTACAGCATATAATTCTTGTAAGTAGTATCCAGATAATTTTTTTTCCAAAACCATGTCTAAATACTTCTGTAGAAATAAGAGAATATATAAAATTTGACTGCCAAAGCATCTACTAAAAAATGTTTATCTAAGTATTAAATATATTAAGTTATTTTATACCTAGATTGAGAGAGGAATGTACCAATGATAGTAAAGTATTTATTCTATTATTACTTTAAAGGCACTTGGATATTTTATGCAATTCAGATTTAGCCCAGTTAATAATTGAAGGGGAGTTCTACACACAAAATCTCAAACTGAATTTTGTCCAACTTTGCCAGGTCACTCAAAAGTTGAGTGTACTGCATGGGGATGTAAGATAAGGTACATTCTTTATTTACGTTGTTTGCTGTTGAGAAAATGATAGGGAGCACTGCCCGTTGCTGTTAAATTTAAAAGTGGGGTGCTCATTTACTTCTCTACCCTGCTGTTTCAGCTTGTCTCTAAAGGTCTCCCAGGTGTTCAGTTCTGTTTCCATTACTAGTTTTATAGTATTTTAGATGCATTGATGGTCAGAAAAGGACTATAGTGTGTCATCGTCTTTTCTGCTTGTGTGTTGGTTGGAAAGTATTTTTTCTAACTGCTGTATTTTTGTACTCCTCTGTTGATATTAGTTTTGCTGTTGGGATGGGAGTTAGCCAGCCAATGTATTAAGAAGACAGAAATTCTCTTGTAGATCTCCTATTCCAAACACTGGAGTAAGCAGTCAGAAAAGCAAAACCAGAAGACACAAATACAACAAGCAGCTGCCTTAGTACAAATGACTTGACAATATTAAACACTACCTTGTTACCTTTTTTAAAAATTAATTTAAGCAGATGATTTGGTGGTAAAACAACAGCTCAAATGCCTGAATGCTGAAAAAGGTTGAACCCCCATATTTATCTGCATTCCAGAATTTATGACTTGAGTTAGTACTGGTGGTTTTTGTCTCTCTCACTCAACATGTATATTCACACACATGTACAGTGTAAAATATCAACCAATTAGCAGCTCTCTTTTTTAAAAAATATGATTGAGCCTTAAATCTTCATCCACTGCTTTCTGCAAGTCAAAGAAAAGCACAACATGGATGCCACTGGGTTGGCCAAGAGATTTACATGCCTTAGTTGTTCTGTTATAATAGTTAATGGCTAATGCCCACCTGGTGAGTAATCGTAACATATTGGATCTTGATTCTCATCTTGTTTTCATTGCCATTTTTAGCTGCCTTGTTGTTATGGTATCCCAGGGCTTCTGTCCTGTTCGGAGCTTTCTAGGGATGTGATCTTCCCTACCCTGTGCACTCTTACCTGAAACAAAATCTTCAGGTCTGCAGTCCTGTCTACTTGTGCCACCTATCCCAGTAATTAGAGCCTCAAAATACATGTTCTGAGATCTAAGGGAAGGAGGAGTCTGTCCAGCAGGGACTGCCTTGGTCTTCTTCTTGTTTGCACCAAGAGTTAAAAATAGCAGGGCTTTGACACTGAGTTAGAAGAGAAACAAATAGCTCTAGACAGGGAGGCAGGTTTTTCTCTTTCCCTTTGCTTCTGCTGGGAGGTTCTGATCCTGCCAAGAGCTCTGCTAGCATGGGGACCTGTCAGAACATTTCTGTCTGCATTTAGAGTCTTGCTACGCAGATACTTCTCAGCTGAAGAAGGCCTTTATTAACACTGTTTCAATCCAGAAGCATTTATCTGTCCAGTCTCTAAGATGAGAGCCTGTGGGCTGTGCAGTGATGACTAACAGTTGTCCCACCTAACTCACAGCCACAGTTCTGACAGTTTTGATCCAGTGCTGTAGTTGCGTGCTACAACTGAAATAGTTGAGGCTCATGCCTTGCCTGATCCTAAGAGGCATGCAAGATTTGCCTTCTAGTGCTATATATGTTGTACTGTGAGAAACCAAGCTTCGTTGGGGTTTTTCTGTTTCTTTGTTTTGAGCTTTTTTTTTTTTTTTTTTTTTTTAATTAGCCATGGTTTTTGTAACAGAACAATCAGGGAAATGAGCTTTATGGAGGCACACACTATGTCAAGTTATAGGGCAGGGAAAGATTTCTGCTGTCTGGTTCTCATAGCAGGCATCCCAGTCATAAATGTGGATGATCTTAATACTTATCTTGGTCCTTGGATGTTCCTGTTTACAGAAACACTTATTTTATCTAGTATTTGTATCAGGGCTTTCTGCACCTCCTTGTGCTGTTTTTTTTTACAGTTTGTGTTTAGGGAAATAGGTTTCGCACAGAGGAAACAAGGCTGTAAAAGAAAGTCCACAGTGAGGCATGAGTCCATTCTTCTTACACAGCACTCGCCTCACTGAGCTGCTCCTTCATCCTTCCCTACTACTAACTATTGACCTTAAGCATAACAGAAAGGGAATCGGGCAGTGCCCGTTTACACAGTTTTGTCTACTTTGAGCAAATGTTTGGGGGGAAACCCCCAAAAATAAATAACGTTGAGGGCCTGTGTGTCCATGCTGCCCCAGATCCAGCTGTGGACTTCCAGGCCTTTCTAAGGAATCAGTAACTAGTAGCACTTGGGTGTGCAAAGACTCCAGTTCCTCACCAAGACAAGGCTTCCTGCTGGCCAGGCAAATATTACAGCCTTAGTGTTTGCTGTAAAATGTGTACTGTGAACTTCCATGTGCAACTACATAATAAAATCCTCGGCTCGGGTCAAGGAATCAAATTCCCAGCCCATAAATTTCAAACAGTTCATGCAAATGGGCTTTAACAAAAAACTTGTTAAGAAGTGCCTTCATACCTACTGCTGTGATAACTATTAATTCAGGTGGCACTAGAACTGGAAAACCTGGACTGGGCCTGTGACTGGGTGATGCTGCCTTGTAGATTACACCAGTGTGTACAAGGCACAATCAGACCCGGAGTGCACATGGAAGACCAAACAATCTGTGCTTGACAAATCTTTGGGGATAAGACTGCTTCAGGTATTACTGTGCAGTGGAAAATTAAGTGGGAAAACTCACAAGTAGCCTGATGCTTTTGTAAATAAATAATTTTTTTACATTTAAGCTGTAAACAGTTAACTTTCTCTCCCCATACCTGAAAGTGGAGGTGACTGTCTGCTGAGGCAAGTCCTGCCTTGCACCATGTTTGTTCATTGAATTTGTTCCCAGATGTAAGCAGTGCAGCACTTCTGGCTCCTAGTGGTTTTGGGCTGTGTGAAGTGAGAAAGCTTACAAAGACAGCAAGACCAGAGAACATGTCCTGTACTAAATTTCCTCTATTTAAATTTGAACTAATGCTATCTTTAATAGACTTTTGGAGGAACAGACAGTGTTAACAGAAGTTGTGCTAGTAAGGTGAAACAATTTTATTGGCTTTTTTCTACTTTGTCAAGTTTGCCATCATAAAGTCTATATGGGACTTCACTGCTGCGCTATCATCTGAGACTGGAACAATTTTACTTTTCTTTGTGAAGGCAACCAAGAGCTGCAGTCATGTCTGATTCTTGTTTGAGGTAAATAAAGTGGGACAGACTCGGAGAGCAAGTGTCTGAATCCAAGTAACTGGACTAACAAATGAGATGATAAAACATTACTAGGGATCTGCGGAAAGCAGATGGGGCATGCTCATTTGCTGTCGGCCACATAGTACCTCAAAGTGTGCAGGCAGCCCTTGCAGCTGAGCTCCACTGCAATCGCACATCAAAGGTATTGCATGTTTGTGATACTCTCAGCTTTCTCCTTTGAGCATTTCCATGAGGTTCAAACAGCCTGTACATGCCCAGCTGATGTGGTAAATCCTGCCTGGGTTGGGCTGCTTTCCTCTGAAATGCAGAATTCAGTGTTGCTAGTGTATGTATAGTCCAGAGAGAGGGTTTGTCCCCTCGCAGACTTCATAAACACTGCATGTCTATTTATTTATTTATTTTGTGTTTTAGCACCTTTTTAGAAGTCTATAAGTGCTTTGAGATTATAAATTACGCATGTGTAATAGCTTTGTCAGCTACTGCTGCAGCCATTTCTGGGTTAGAACATTGCTATTAACGAAGCAACCATTGCACTTGTGAAAAAGCTGGTTTTTAACAGTTCTTTGGCTTTGAATGATAGCATGAGGAAAATTTGGGTACTTAAGATAGTGCTGCTTGAACTTTGGCTAGCAGCCC